CGAGTGCAAAATCACCAAACGAGTAAGGGCAGGACGTCTCAACACAAATGTCGTGGCTGTCCCTATACATGTGCCACCCAAAATATGAAATGTCAACAACCATTTTTCCTGCAAGGATTGGCTTACCTGTGCCATGTGTACAAGGTTATTGTCATTAGCTGAAGTTCGAACCAAGTGTCAAAGGATAATATACGAGTAGTAAGGCACGGTTGTCTACAGAGGAAGGGAAGGTGGTACACCTTTATCTCTCAAGGGATAAATAAAGATTGGACGGCAGTTGATAATTAGAAGTAAAACAAAAGTGATAGAGAAGTATCCTCTAATCCTGCTTATTCATAAAAAGATGGCGAATCTGAAGGGTAACAGTGCTAAGCAAAGTCAACTTTCAAACAATTTGTCATCTTTTAGCTGAACCTCATAATCGGTCCAAATGGAAACACCAACGCAAGTTTATGACCATTTAAAGATCCAGCTGCTCATTAGTGAGATTCTCAACTCCTTATACTAGAAAATAGCTAACTAAACATACATGATTGACTCAATGTGTGTTCAATGTTCACCTTTGAATGATAGTTTAGCCCAAGTTTATAAAGTAACCTCAATCTAACTCATGAACTCATTATTCTCCATAGAAGAAACGGAAGGTAGTTAGTCCTCATGAATAGAAATTGTTAAAGCAGATGTAAGACCTGTAACTAGGAAAAGAAGTTCAGTGATTGTATTATTGAATCTTCAGGTAATTTAGGAGTACCTATAATTAGATTGAAGGTCATATTTATTGGGCGACCCCTAACTATGGGGCTGGGAGATATCTGAACTCCTTTCACCATGATATCATACTTAGCTGTCTCATCTGCATCAGTGGAAGAATAGATATCAATTATATGTATATCAACACAAAATGGCATTCCATTACAGCAAAGTTCAATCAAACTAAAGAACAAAAGGCAGACTTCAATAGACACCAATGGGTGCCGCCATGCTGGTGATAAAGTGTGAGATCCCACGTCGATTGAAGAGGAGAACAACATCGATTGGATTGGAGAGGGGAACAAGTGCCAACGAGGATGTTAGGCCCTGAAGGGAGGTGGATTATGAGATCCCACGTAGGTTGGGGAGGAGAAAGAAACATTTTTTATAAGGATGTAGAAATCTCTCCCTAACGGCGTTTTAAAAAACCTTGAGGGGAAGCCCAAAAGGGAAAGCCTGAATAGAACAATATCGGCTAGCAGTGGGCTTGGGCTATAACAAAATAGTATCAGAGCCAAACATCGGGCGGTGTGCCAGCGATGACGTTGGACCTGAAGAGGGTGGATTGTGAGATCCCACATCGATTGGAAAGAAAAATGACATCGATTGGATTGGAGAGGAAAACGAGTGCTAGCGAGAATGCTAGACCCCGAAGGGAGGTGGATTGCATATCCATATCCGTTGGGAAAGAGAACAAAGCATTCTTCAAGGTTTCCCCCTTTAAAAACTTTGAGGGGATAAAAATCTTGAGGGGAAGCCCAAAAGGGAAAGTCCAAAAAAGAGGACAATATGTGCTAGCGGTGTGCAAAAGGTTGTGAGATGTTTGGATTTACAAGTTTTTAGGGTCAAAGCTCTTAAGTTATTAGTGAGGTGGGGGCCATAAGCATATTGTTGGAAGTGGATCCTAACCATTAGTTCACAATCTAATTATCTAACATATCCACCATCAGTTCATCACTATTCACCTTCAAACACATCAAACTGAAGCTCTAGAATAATGATGAACAGTCCCAAACAGTACCAGAAATACAACTATGATGTAAGAAACAATGTTTAAAATAAGAGATCAAAAAACAAAAAGTATTCAACAGTACAGTGACATTGACTTATAAGCATTCAAATTCAGAGTCAGAACCTTATTTAATCGAACGCACAAAACCTAAATTCAGAAAGAAACGCAAAAATTCTCGAAAATGATCAAAGTCCTTCAAACATCAAAGAATCGGAGTACAAGCATTGGAATCAGAAAGCACAAACCGCAGAGTTGGACTCGAGTGGCGAAGGAGAATTGTAAAACGAAACACAACCAGAGAAGCAATGTGAGAATCAGCTTCATCAGAGAAGTGAGTTCCATGGAATTGCTCTTTCTCGAACTCTGTAACAAGAAATTTGAAGAAAACCTTCAAAATTTCTAATAATGAAGCTCTGAGGTTGCGAGAAAAACGGGGATTTCAGTGGAGTGGAATGAAAAACACTGCAAGATACGCTTTCCATTGGCGAGTGAGAAGAATCCCTTCTTCGTCGGGGATCGGCAGATGGGATGAAGAGAAAAGTTCCTAAAAGAAATGAAAAGAAGTTGAGAAGAAGCCAAGCAAGCTGTTTGTTAAATTAAATTTATAAAATTATTTTTATTAATTTAGTCAACTTTCTAAAAGTAATGAACTGAAAAAATAAATTTTAAAAACATATGAAAAGTCACTTAAAGAATTGAAAATCAAGTCTTCCAACTTCAATTATATTTTATGGAATTTATATAATTTCTACTTAATTAATAACAATTTAAATTTAATTCATTTAATTAATTATAATCTAAAATGTATTTTATTAGTGATTTAAAATATATTAACTTTTGGCAAGCCATGCTCTATCTATGAATTGCCCCGGTCAACTCTTCGAGATTTTAAATACTCCCTCTGTGAATAGAAGGTATGATAAACCCTTTATAACCAAAGGTTAATGTAAAAAAGCGTTCACTCAACATTCGAGGATCTAAATAAGCAAAATATACACGTTACAGAATCCAACAACGAAACATTGGCAGGACCAAGTGACAAAGAGTACAAAAGATGACTATCTAGAAACATGGTGAGAAACGAACAAGAAAGCGGTGAGAATCACGACAATTTGTTTAAGAAGTGAATTGGATTGATCTTTTATGTGTCAGACATTCCTGAATTGATGGTGGATCCTATCGATTGATTTTGTTCCGACATTTTTAGTAAATTTTATGTTTTCGATTTCTTTTAAAGTAACACGATACTTTTAATAATTAAATTAAGTTTGTGTTGATGGGAGGGGATTTTTATGAAAAACCTTTAAATTTACAATTTGGCTAACCCTAAAATATAAAATTATTACAATTAAAAGTATTGCTACCGAATATATATATATATATATATTTATTTACAGGTCAGATTTTTCAACTCCTTCCGTTGGCCAACGGAACCACCTCCGCCAGAGGGGTCGAAAGCGGCGTCGGCACCGGGGAAGTTCTGCAAACAGGGCAGCTAGGGTTCAGCCTTAACCACGGATCGATACAGCCGCTGTGAAACATATGACCACAATCCGGCAACAACCGCAGAACATCCTCGTTTTTATAGTCCCCCAAACAAATCGAACAACCGCTCGCGGCGGCGGACTCCAATTTTCCCTCCAATTTCTTTTCCGAGTACAGAATCTTCGGATATTCATTAATGGCCTCATCTTCGAGCCCCGGTCCGAAATCGACGATGGCATCCCGCCGTTCCCCCGGCCGACGACGGCGATTCGGCTGCGGAACGGTGGTTCTGGTGCATAAATAGGTGGCGATTGTTACGGTTGTGAGAAGGAAAAGAACTCCGACTGAAATTCCGACTATGTAGGGGAAAGTGCCGACGTTGCCGGTGGCATCTGATCCGCCGGAGCCTGTGGAGTTGTTCATGGGGCAAGAGAAAAGGCGTTGACTGTGAGAAGTAGAAGGGGATTTTTGGTTTCTGCCATGGATGGAGAATGGGAAGAAATATAAATGGATAGGGCCACACAATAATTTTTTTATTATTATTTTTTTTTATAACGACAAATTTAATTTCACAATTATCATATAATTTTTGTTTGTTCTAAATTTTAAATCATTGAAACATAGTTTTATTTATTAAAATATTATATCATTTTTTTTAAATATTTCTAGAATTATATAATTTTAAAATAACGCTAACGTGGTTGACAATTAACGAAAGTAATACTGTGTTATTCATAAGGTTGACGATATGGACTATATAGAATAATTTTTTTTATTAAAAATTAAATTTAATCAAATTTTATTGGTTAGAAATGTAAATACTTGTACCTCTCTAACTGACTCATAAATTTCATTTTTGTCCCCATGTCACAATTCTCGAGAAAATAATAATAACATTGGGTTGATCTTATCGTTTTTTTTTTTAATTTTGTATTAAATGTAATTGTTTTATTTCTTTTTATAAATTGGAGGAATATCAATTTGGTTTAAAATTAAAAGGAAAATAAATGATATTGAATTTTTAAATGTAATAACTAAATAATTATCAAAATAGGTAACTGACATGCATTTTTGTTTTTAGTGTCGAGTTTTGATTTTTAATACCATATTTGTTATACTAAAAAAAATATTTGGGTCAATAAAACGGCTATTATTTGTAAGCATGGAGGTGGCATCATTTGACAGCAGGGTTTGCCAAGTCAACTGTGTTCGGGATATGAGCTGGCAATACACGTGTGGTGGACCCCACTCAAACCCAAATTCATCCTATACTAATATTGTTTTGTGGTCGTTTTCTCCTAACCTTAATTAATTTAATCTAATTATTTTTTTAAAAAAGTCTCAATATAATTTAATTAAAATCCATTTGTCACAATCCATGCTAGCTCTCCAAAGTCAAACATATTTACTCCTATTTTAAATTATAAATTTAGTCTTTGTTTTTTAATTTAAAAAATATTTAATGAATTATTAAAATTTTAAAATATGAAATAAATATACAATTGTTGTTGTTTTTTTTTTTTTTGCAACATAGTTGTTGGCTACTAATTAAGGTTTCATAATATATATAAATTATTATTTTAAGGTGGATGGTTGGACTCTTATTCTTGTAATTATTGAATTAAAAATAATAATAATAAAATAAATAAAAATAGAGTTCTCAAAGGAGCATTTATGATCTTGGGGTATTTTAGTTATTTAATAAATTCTATTTAACATTAAAATATATTACGTTTTTGCCATTTTGTATTGTTAACCCGACGAGGGAATCTCTTTCTGCTTCCCAATGAAGTTTGACTCCGACGATCCCCGTTGAAAACTTCTGTGGCGGTTTTTCTTTGGCAGAAATTTCCATTTCCAAGCTTTAGTTTCCAATTCGACCATGGCGATTTCCGATCTCTCACCGTTGTCCTTCGTGCTGCTTCTGTTGGTGACGGCGGTGGTTGTCGAAGCTAGGGACAACAACCGAGTTTTCTCACCTTGTATTGACACGACTGTTGAGAAGTCCGACGGGTTCACCTTAGGGCTTGCTTTTGCGACGGAGCAGAAGTTCGTCTTCAATAAAACATTGAAGTTGTCTCCTTGTGACAGCAGGCTCGCTCTTACGAATGGAAATGCTCTGATCTCTGTGTTTAGACCTAAGGTTGATGAGATCTCCCTCCTCACCGTCAACACTACTCCGTCTGTGTCCTCCTTCAATCCGGTTAGTTTTTCGAACTCTATGTTCTTTGTTGATGTCGAATCTATGGATTTTCTGTTTTCTCTTCGTTTGAGATTGAAAGTAGTTCTAACTAGGTTTTGTGCGTGAATTTGTCTAATTATCGGTAGGTTTTGTGGGATTGGAGTAATAGGTTTGTAATAGGGAGGCATACAGAACAGATCCTTATGGAATCACTTTGCTTACTTAGAATGCGTGATGCTAGCCGATTTGATTTGGGATTTTTTTGGTCTGTTAATTGTTTTTTTTTTTAAGGGAAATCAGTAATCAATCAGTTGATTGACTTTCTGCACGATCCAATTTGAACAAGAAACTCAAATGTTGATCTCTATATGGAAAAAGGAAGAACTTCACTGAAGATGGTATCAAGATGTTTTACTCTTTGGTTGATGTTTGAGAGAGTAGATATTCCCCTTCCCTCTTCCGCTTTAAGATGATATCATACTTATTAATCTTTGCTAGCTCGATTTTAATTGCTCACATAAATCTAACATTTTACTTCAATATGCTAGTTTTCCGTTCACTCCAGTCGTGGACTCATGATTTTGTTTTCTTTTCATTCAGTCTTCACATGGCTATATGGTTGCATTTGCTGGTCGGAAATATGCTGCAAGGTCCCCTCCAATTTTTGTCTCAGATGGACAACATATCGTAACCAGCTTTACTCTGGTATGTTTATGACATAGAAAGTAGGAAGTAAACTGAAGGCACAAGACATGGACACAATACTACACTGACTTGGTGATATGTTTATAAGAATTCAATGGACATATGTAACAAATTACCTTTGGTGTGAAATGTAAGAGATAGCAATTGAAAAACTATGGAATAAGGTCGTCATAATATGACAATCTTCAATATTTTGTAGTTTTTTTTATGTGAATGGGTAGGCTTTGTTGAGGATTGTTGGGAGGGAGTCCAACATTGGGTAATTAAGAGGATGATCATGCGTCAATAAGTAAGGAACACTATCTCCATTGGTATGAGACCTTTTGGGGAAACTAAAAGCAAAGCCATGAAAGTTTATGCTGAAAGTGGACAATATCATACTATTGTGGAGAGTCGTGGTTCCTAACCGACTTCATTTATATAGCAAGTCATGTTGAGTTTTAATCTTTGAGTAGTGTCTGTGCTTACTAACTTATGACAGTCCATTGGGTAACAAATCCATCAAATTTTCTCGGTGTATAGGTGCTCGAGTTTGAGAAAGGCAGGCTGCAAAACTTGTTCTGGAAAAGGGATGGTTGTGCTCGATGTTCAAACAACCATACCTTTGTTTGCATCAACAATCAGGATTGTGCAATCAGAACAAACAACTGCAAAAATAGTGGTCCTGTCGATTGCAGTCTTGCGATACAGTTAGCGTTCTCTGGCACGGATAAGCACCTTTCTGTCTTCAACTCTTGGTATGAAGTGTCGAGACTTCGGCAATACTCACTCGTCGATCTGTATTCGAACCTCAAAGATTCTCTCACAAGTCAGTATAACAAGATCTTCCAATAAAGCATATTTTTGTTAATGTATATTTCATTTCCATCCTTGTAACTTGGTTTGTGCTACGAATTCCTTTCAAATCTTGTGCATTTTTCATCAATTAAATGTGTGACAGTAGGGGCGGTACTAGTGTTGTATGTATCACGAACTCCTGGTTAAATGTAATACAAAATCATAGCGTTGAATTGCTTCTCTCCCCGTTGTTTGTTGCCTTTCACTTGTTTTTGATGCATTGTAATGAATGGCTTGGATTCTGGGCCTTTGCCCGGTCCAATGCCTACTTTTGGGCCTCTGTTCCTCAGGAGTAACTTAAAAAAGTATTTTTAAAAAGGGTAAAATAGAAAATTCAAAAGATAATTTATATTATACAATTCAACAACGACACGAATATCATTAGAAATACAATCTAATATAATGGCGAACAAATCATATTTGATGAAGGTGACATTTCGGGTACCTTTGTGAGGCCTTACCTTGTCGAAGTTTTCTTATGGGAATTCTTTGTCTATCATTCTTACTAACTTTTTTTAGTTGTTCGTTCCAATTTTTAGAGAAGTAAACAATACTTCAACCAATTTGAGTTATGCTTACGTTGAAAATTTTGTTGTCTCGTCTCTTGATAATCTCAAGAGCTAATAAAACGTCGGTATATATAAAAAATAAACAAAACCCTAATAACGTCAAAAAAAACTTTACAATTATCCATTTATATAATTAGCAAATTTTGTATTAAAAAGTTAAATGTAAAGAGAATCCATAAGGGATAAAGGGTTGTAAATAATGGGTGTTTTAAGGGCAAAAGCCTCTCTCTCTCATCTTTACAAATTGTATATAAAATTTGTATTTTAAAAAATAAAAATAAAAATAAAAGAAAGAAAGTTAACGAATCATGCATTACTTATTAATAAATAAATAAAATAGATGGGCAAAGAAAAAAAAACATATGTCGTGGACTCCACGTCACAATTTGTAACTTCATTAATCCTTTAATGCATGCTGACGTAGGTGCACACGCCATTTTCAATCTGTTTTATTCTTTTAGTCTAAAGTTTTAATAAATTTTAAAATTTTTAATTTCAGATGTAATAAATTTATTTTTCTATATATATAAATTAGAGTAAATTTTAATATTTAGAAATTAACTTTATAATTATGAAAAATTATGATAAATACATAAAAATTTAAAATTTTAGGAATTAATTTTATTTTATAATTAAATCTAGATGGAGTGGTAGCTAGAGAGGGACCAATAATTTTGATCCAACTTTTTGTAATTATTAAACATTTTCCTTTCACACTCGATTCTAATTTGCGTTTTCTAATGAAAGAGAGATTCCAATATAATTAATTATTAATTATTAATTATTAATTATTAATTATTAATTAAGTAGGTTAATGTAAAAAGTTTGGTAATATGACGTGGGCTGAAAATCCTAGTGGAAGAGAAAATTCCTTTTTGATTCTATATAATATATAATATAATATATACGTGCCATCTTAATAGACATCCACTTGGCCTCTTTTTTCCTACTTTGTGCCTTTCAAATTGCCACGTGTCATACACGTCATCATTCGAGAGAGAGAGAGAGAGTTATTTGGTTGCTTTGCTGTTGCATAAATTTATGAAGAAGGTAAAGCGGTAATGGAGCTTCCACTACTAAAAATAGACATATTTATTTTAATTAATTAATTAATTAATATATTATAAAGCCCTATTGTTAATTCGTTATAAGTTATTATTAACATCCACATTCTAGTCACTATTAATATAAATATACATCGCCACAAATTACAATAAAGTTTCACAAAATTCGGCCATTAGCTTAAAAAAATAAAAAAATAAAATAAAATAACGAACCGTTTATGTCAAAAATGAACAATATCATACCATATTATGAAGATATCTACGAACGGTTAGTTTTCTCGACAATTTAGCTGTGTGGATAAACTTAAAGATGTAGTAATGGAGGAGTTTTCTCTATCCAATTAACCGTGGTCGAGAAAAGGAAGTTAGCCTAAATAATAGATAAATTAAAAAATAAGAAAAGTTCAAATAGGTTGCATCGATATCACAAGTAAAGTAATGTAAATAAATATGTGGGGTTTGATGTGATCAATGTTTCTTATCAGCTTTATCTCTCTAATTTAGTTTTTTTTTTTTTCATTTTAATTTTAATTTTATTTTGATAGCATCGAATTATAAGTATTTCTTTAAATCAAACGTCTCAGCTTTCTACGTAGAAATGGAAGATAACAAAGTAGCTTCATTCATTTTATATATTTTTAGCTAATAAAATTGACGAAAAGGTCTAAATTTTTATACTAATAAAATATATATATAAAGAAAACTGAAGCATATGAAATTTAAATTTTAAAATATCACACACACATATATATATATATATATAATTATTTAGGGTTAAATTATATTGGTGTTATCATAGAGACATTGAAATTGACACACACAAACTATAATTGCTTATGACTTTGTAATAAGGGAATAATGGAATATACTAAAATATGTTACAAAAAAACAACTTTGGGTACTCAGATATGTTGATATTTTAAAAATATATATATAAATAAAGCTTATTGATTTTCTCAACTCAAATGTTTCAATTTGGAGCTTTAGCTTACCATAATGGGACAATAATTAAATTAATTTAAAGGGAAAAAAAGGTGGAGCAAAATTTTAAAAAAAACCCAAGATTTTTAATATTTAAATTTGAACGTGGATTTTGGTGAAAGATAAATGAAAAATCAATATAAATATATCTTTTTGATAATTAAACTAAATTAATTGGAAAAATAAATTAAGGGAACACTTTGGTACTTAACCGTACCTTTTTTTAGGCCAATGATTTTAAGTTAGGTTACAAGAAAAAGTCCCCATGCATGCAAAGGGCATAATTTTAATTAGTTTTTTTTTAATTTATTAAATTTGATAAAATAATTATAATAATTTTTAATAAAGACACAAAATGAATATATTTTTACTAATATTTAAAAAAAAATTTGACAATGAGATTATAAAGTTTTTTTTTTTTTTTTTTTTTTTTTTTATTTT